GTTGTTCACGACGTGTGTCGCTGTGAAAGAGGCTAGGCTAAGAAGCTAACAAGAAATCACGTGTGCTGTAAAAAACTCTACTGAGAGAAGAAATGTACCGACCCGAACGAGACGACTGTAAATGAGAGCTGCTGCTTTGTCAGACAAATTTAATTTAATTTGAAGCCTTATCAACACAGACTGGCTTCATTCACTTCCTCCACTGCTGTATGCTAAATTAGCAGACACTGAGCAGAAAATCGACGTTCTGTTCTCTGATTGGCCCAGATGAAATGCTCCCGAAGAAATCCTCGTCTATGGGAGAAATCCCAGACGGAGCAGTGAAGGAAACTAGAATTGAGTGGAACTGTGTAGGAAAGTAAGGGCCAGGCTAAGGGTTGAGTAATATTGGRTAAAAAAAAATCATGATTAATTGTGGTATTTAGCCGATAACGATTAATTTGATGATTAATCCCCTGGAGGCCCTGGACACCCTTATTTCATAGTCATATGACCAATTTAGTGGGAAAGATTTGCTCTTCTTAAAAATCTCTTCCAAATTTGTTCTAAATTACAGACCTCAGGCTGTACATCAAATTTTAATCTGTGTTGATAGATAAATAACAGAACTTTTATTGTAATGTTCATCATATTTGAAGTGGAGAGGAGCAGCGGACTCTGCCTGGTGGTATTAATCATATTAATCATCAAGTGCCAAAATATAWTCGATTGTTTTTATGATGATTAATGGCACATGATACAATTATACCCAACCCTATAGCTTCCACAAGCTTTTTTTAATATGTTTGGTGTTTGAGAAGCTCCATTTTAAGTTAGCTAATCTTTGCTTAGCTGTGCCCACCACTGCAACCAACACATGGAGCAGTCCTGATACCAGAACAAGTTACAGACATTCATTTTGCCATCAGGTCAGTTATYGAGGACTCTTCACTGGTTCACTTTCCTGAAATCAAGACCACCAGATCCTGAGTCTGAGGGGGTTCAGAGGGTAACAATGATCCTCTGTAAGGGTCCAGACAGTTGTTCCTGTCAATGACAGGCCAACGTCCACCTGGATCCGGTTCCAGCTTCCTAGTGTCCAAACACCGGTCCTTTGACCTCATGTTTGATGTCTTCAAGGTGGTCCTGCAGGACACCTACTCCACAGACCCCACATGTGAGGTCAAGGCCAGATTGTCTCTCAGTTCCGGCCTTTAGAATGATCCAGACAGATATTTAGTGGTGGGAACAGCTAACCAAAGTCAGCTTCATATTCTCATATTGACTCATATTCATCTAATTAAAATATACAGTATCTTCACTAATGTTAAACAGCTAAACATGTAAAAAATTAGCTGAAGCATTAATAGCTAAAGGCTAACTGCTATGACGACTCGTCTTTGTCTCCTTGGAGTTGAAGACTGGTGAGACGGACACAAACCTGCTGTTAGCCTGTTTTTAACTTTGTTTGAAAAGCTAATTCACTAAATGAAACATTAGTTTGTTGCTGTTGAGTGATGAGTGAAACCATCCCCCTTCTTCCAGTCCAGAACCTGACCTCTGTGTCTCCAGGTCCTGGTGTCCATCGTCRTCTGCACTCACAGTAAAAGTGTTTACAGTCCTTCTGCTCAGTGGACTGTTGAGTTCAGCTGGTGTTTCCTGATGTCCAGGAGTTCTGACACACAAACACACTGAGGTCCTGACCTGTCCAAACACTTCCTCGTTGACGGTGAAGGTGAGGTCCAGCATGTCCTCTATGTCGTTGTCCTTCATCCACTGCAGAGACTGGTGGAACTCCTCGTCCAGGTACTCCAGGTCGCTCAGGTCACAGGGTCTGCAGAGGAAACAGTGACCAGTTAACAGCAGCAGGACAGGATCTGCTTCCTGTCGGGGACACGTACATGCGCAGCAGGCCTTTGTAGAAGGGTCTGGTGAAGAAGGCGTCCAGCAGGTACTGATGGATCAGAGCCAAACCCAGAATACGACCGCTGAACCGGAACCTGATGCAACATGAACACAAGTTAAAGATTGTGTTGCAGCTTGTGTCGTGATCCCAACGGGACCCATCTTACCACTCGTGATGATTYTCTACGAAGGCCGACATGGGGCTGATCTGGACCGTGTAGGTGTCGTTGGCCGAGTATTCAAACAGCCCGTAGTACGGGTTGAAGAGTTCTCTGGACACCAAGAAGAAGAACTCTCTGGAAGGCCCGCTGTAGTCCAACCTGAAACCAGTCAACACATTTAGTCATTTGCCCCGCAAAGCATTCTGGGTAAATTACAACATTTACAGGCTGCTCCGGTGCCAGCTCTGTCCAGATTGTAGGATAACTTTGGACTGTCTGACGGTAGGAAATGACCCAGAGCTCAAAATGACTGAAGATGATGATGGAGGACAACAGAGCTTCATCGTGGGAGGAGAGCCTCAGCTTTAGCCTCATCTCCTGAGCTACAGTTTATGTACATACAAGGGTTGGACAATGAACCTGATCACCTGGTTTTAGACCACAATCATTTATTAGTATGGTGTAGGGCCTCCAATACAGCATCAGTTTGTCTTGGGAATGACATATACAGTCCTGCACAGTGGTCAGAGGGATGTGAAGCCATTCTTCTTGCAGGATAGTATCCAGGTCACTACTTGATGCTGGTGGAGGAAAACATTTCCTGACTCGCTCCTCCAAAATACCCAAAGTGGCTCAATAATCTTTAGATCTGGTGACTGTGCAGGCCATGGGAGATGTTCAACTTCACTTTCATGTTCATCAAACCAATCTTTCACCAGTCTTGCTGTGTGTATTGTTGTCATCCTGATACACAGCACCGCCTTCAGGATACAATGTTTGAACCATTGGATAAACGTGGTCCTCCAGAATGGTTCGGTAGTCGCTGGCAGTGACCATCTAGCACAAGTATTGGACCAAGGGAATGCCWTGATATGGCAGCCCAAACCATCACTGATCCACCCCCATGCTTCACTCTGGGCATGCAACAGTCTGGGTGGTCCACTTCTTTGGGGCTTCTCCACACCGTAACTCTCCTGGATGTGYGGAAAACAGTAAAGGTGAACTCAGAGAACAATACATTTCACAGATTTGTGCTCCTTGACCATTGAAACCTACGTTTGYCACGAGTGACCAAAGGTTTGGATATAGCAGCCRGGCRGTGTATATTGACCCTGTGGAGGTCCTGATGGACAGTTCAGATGGAAACAGGAGAGTTGAAGTGCTCATTAATTCTGCTGTGGTTTTATGTTTTTTGGATACAATCCAGGTTATCACCTGAACATCCCTTTCAGACAGCTTCCTCTGTCGTCCACAGTTAATCCTGTTGGATGTGGTTGGTCCTTCTTGGTGGTATGCTGACATTACCCTGGATACTGCGGCTCTTGATACATCACAAAGACTTGCTYTCTTGGTCACAGARGCTCCAGCAAGACGTGCACCAACAATTTGTCCTCTTTTGAACTCTGGTATGTCACCATAATGTTGTCTACATTGTAATATTTAGATCCAAACTGCGCTCTGACCCTGCTAATTGAACCTTCACACACTGCTCTTACTGGTGCAATGTGCAGTTAATGAAGACTGGCCACCAGGCTGGTCCAGTTTATACATGGAACCTCCCACACTAAAATGACGGGTGTTTCAGTTTCATTGTCTAACCCCAGTATGTATTGTTGTTTAGTTACAACTGCAAGGCATCATCATCATCATCATCATCATCATCATCATCATCATCATCATCATCATCATTATCCCCAGAATGCATTATGTGTCACAAACAACAACTTTTAGTAGAAGAGAGAAACAACAGTCAGAGATGTTTACAGCAGGTCTCCTCACCCCTCCTCTCCCATGAAGCTGACGTAGAACTTGCTGCGCTGCAGGTCTTTCCTGGAGTAACACATGATCTGGTTGAAGGCGTCCTCCAGCAGGTGGTCCCGTCGGATGCTGAGCCTGAAGACACACACACACACACACACACACACACACACACACACACACACACACAC